GAGAGACAAAGTTGTGGGTTTCCCCTTTTTTACGGGGTACCACGTACAGAAACACAGTATGTCTGTGTGCCCGTAGAATGCCGTGTTCATTGACGGACACGCCAGGAGCTTTTGCCCGTCAGCTAACGACGAAGAGAAACTAAAAGGATGAGCCGCTGCCTTTTTCCTAAACAGATTCTCATGGAGGGGCCCATGCTACCGTACTAGGCAGATTCTGGGAAGGAGAAAGATGCAAAAAGGAAGTAGAGGATCCGAAGACCTCCCCGGGGGAGGTTCCGCCGGTCACTGTTTTGGGGCCGGCTTATCTGGCCCGCGGGAAAGGGACGCGCACGGGGTTGGTAGTGTGGCTTAGCCCGGAGATGGGTCGCCTTCACGATCGTTCCGAGGGGTGTGCCGGTGGCACGCGTTCGCCGAAAAATGCGACGGAGACACCACCCTCCTCGCCGGTCCTTTATAAAAGTTAGTTTTGGGGACATTTTAAGTGCCCGTCTGGCAGGAGTAGAACTGTCGAGAAAGCGGAGCCTGTTGGTTGTATTACAAAAATCAACGATAAGCAACACGAAGGTCAGAGGCAGGACTAGGTATCTTTTCATATATTCGTGTTGTTTTTTTACATAACATTATTCGAAGAGAGCCTTCCACAATGACATCCCGAAGTGTAATAACTGGCCAATGGGGTTGAATGAATGCCTATGCAGAGTTTTACGCTCGAACGAATCGGAGGGGGTTGATAAAGGTTTGGTCTCGGGAACTTGTATTAATAACAGCTGACCGACTTTGCTTACGCGGTTCATTCTGAATATATATATCTGTCCTATAGCCAATTTGGGATTCGTTACACACCTCAGTTTCGCGGGAAGATGCAAGTGATGACAACGGTCTGAAGAAATTGTGCTTTCTCCGCCGGAGCTCCGGACGATGCCTTTCGTCTTCTTTCATTTGACCGCACACGGGTTCTTCGACGCAGTAGCAAGTATAATAAGGTCTTTTTTTTTTTTTTTTACTTTTTGGCTAATATGAAACGAACGAAATGAGGAATAAAAAGCTGCTGTTGTAGGTTGACAAGAACGTGAGTGTTTATTGGGTGTTATATTTTTATCTTTTGAAGATACCACGAGCATGACTTCTTAATCATCACCATACCAAACCGGTGTTGTAGCCTGGTTCCTTGGCTTTTGAAACTACCAGCGGAAAACCTGTCTCTGTGGATTACGATGAAAGTTGAGCTAGTCATCAGGCGCGAAAACTCTGCTTAAAAAGTGTTGTAAACTGCGACACTGATCACTCGGGTGTCATTCCAGGCCAAAGGAGACGCGACAATTTTTAATGTCTGGGATATGTTCGAAAAATTAATTTAAATAGAAAAGCTTCTGAACTCCAAGAAAAGTATTTTTCTAAAAAACTTAATCTTATTTTTGTTGATATCATGCTCTGAACTTCTGAAATTTGCATAAAATACACGTAGTTAAAAAAATTATAAACAACGGTCACGTACAACAGAAATTAAGGTGCGCGCCTAATTACTCATTAATATGCCCTAGCTTACATCAACATACATATTTTTTTAGATTTCTTCATTTTTTAGTCAACTTGTATTTGGGTGTTAGGCACAATACTTTTTTCTTCCGTTCTCTTAAGACTTTTATTTGAATTGCTTGTATTAAATTTTCGAAGCCTCTTTTTGTTGCGTTTTACATAACTTACAAAATCTCTAGTTTATGCAGAAAAGGCCATATTGAGAGCCATAGAATGCAATGTGTGCAGCGGTGCCCGCAACTTTTGGAGTAGACAAAGGTTCCATTTACCTCATCTGTTCAACATATAAAAAAAAAAAAAAAAATCGAAAGATTATTTTTCTTGTTGGCAATTTTTTTTTTTTTTTTTTTTAAAGAATGGTTTTTTTTTTATATAATGCGTCCAAGCGCTAGCCTGGTAGGCGAGGCACGCCGACGTTCATCAGCGAGGCGTCAACGACGCGAAACGCCGCCGCAAAATCTTCCACACCCTCCCGAAAACACGTTTTAGTCAGTTGAAGTGGACGTTATCTTGACTTCCATGCATAGGAATCCTCTTTGCGTTACGTATTGATTGATACTGGCGTCTTAATTTTAGTCTACTTCTATCCAGCTAACTGCCGACGAACAAAGGCTTGCATCGTCTGCTTCCTGAGCCTTGGGAATGCGTAGTGCCCGACGGCCTCGTCTGACGTATGTAAAGATTTAAAAATAATTTGGACCGGATTGCTCTTCACCGATGCTAACTGATAACAGTGACGTCGCTTCCCCATTGAACTTAAATGTATTTTGAAAGAACTAAGATCTATCGAAGTTCGTTGGCGCATCCACCAACGACGCGCTGCCGAGATAGTGTCCGCGTCATGGGAATGACTACGTCACTCTTCTAAGCGTCATTGTGGAAGGCGTGTGGTAATATTTATGCGCACAATATTGAAATCAGAAGTAGAAACGCGAAAACTGATCGATGAATATTAGAGAAACCATTGCCTTTTCGCAAATTCTGTCCATTGGTCACGCCTCTTATAGTAGTTGGCGTCAATACCGGAATTGCCACATGAGCCACAAAACCATTAATTAAGAATTTAATAAATGATTTCTTTAATAAACCCACCTACCGTAACGGTTATTGCCTCATCTAACGTCCGCCAATTAAGCCTGACACTCAGGTGACGAATACGGCACCCGTGTAACTTCCTCACTATTATCAAACACACTTCCTCCAATAATACTAGTGAGTTCAAAATTTGAGATGTTCTGATGGCCCCCAGTGTATTCCGGAGTCTAAAATACTGCATATCAACGGAACCTAAGGGGTGTGAGGCGTCCGCCGCAAAGAAAGAAATGATTTTTCCATAATTACATTACTTTTGGTAGCATTACATATTCTTTAAAAATACATTTAAGTTCAATAGAAAAGCGACATCATCGTTATAATTTCTAACCGGTGGAAATCTATCCGATCTGAATTGTTTTTATATCTGGAAGCACGACAAACGAAAACGACGCGCAGTGCGGATTCCCAAACTCGGGAAGACAGACGGTGCAGGCTTGCGTTCGTCGGCAGTTACCTGGGCAGAAGTAGAGTAAAATTAGGACGCCAGTATCATTATTTAACGTAAAGAGAATACGGATGCATGGAACTGAAGATAACGTTCACTTCAACTGGATCAACCGAGTTTTCAGGAGAGCGTCGAAGACCTTGCGCCCGCGCCTCACACCGTTGACGCCTCGCTTGGAATGCACGCCGGCATGTTTAAAAAATAATTTCTCACCTACAACACAAAATGCTTTTCTAATTTTTTTATATGTTGCACAGACGATGCGAATTGAACTTTTGTCTATTTCGAAAGTTCCGTGCACCGCTGCCAACATTGCTTTCTATGGTTCTCAATACGGCTGTTCCTGCATAAACTGGAGATTTCGTTTTTTAATTGAAACGCAACAAAACGAGGCTTGAAAATTAATTACAACCAATAAAATGTTCAGTATTAAAAGAAAGATGAAAAAAGTGTTGTGGCTAACACCCAAATCCAATTGGGCTAAAAAAATCAAGCGACCTCATAAAGTATCTGCTTTTTCGAGCTCCTATTTCGACCCAAAATGGCAACTTTCATGTATGTATTGTAATGTAAGATAAGGCATATTATTAAGTAATTAGGCGTCCACCTAAATTTGTGTAGAACGCAAACGTTTTTTTACAATTTTTTCCTTTTAACTACATGGGTTTTATGCAAATTCCCGGAATTGAGCGCATGATATCATCAAAAATAAAATTCATTTTTTTCCCAAAATGATTTTTTTCTAAAGTTCAGAGGCTTTTTTATTCAGAAACTTTTTTCGTGGATATTCCAGACATGAAAAAATTGCAGCGTCTCCTTTTGCAAGCAATGATTCGTAATAATTTATTCTCCTAAGACCCGAATTATTTCCGGATCATAGGCACTTTTCACACAGCCATTTGGAAGGCTTTATTTGTTATTACAAAATGTTCGTCGACTACACCTAAGCTGAATTAGTCGCTTGACATTTTAATTTCGAGAAGCTTTAGGGTTGATCTTGTTTTAATTGGTTTACATACCTTACCCGATGTAACGTCAGCGCCTCCAAGAAACGTAAGGGGATTGCTCTAAGAAAATCTCTCTATGCACTCGTGCGCGTCGAGGTCAGCAAAAACCCTTTGTTTGTTTGTTTTTTTTTGTTTTTTTTTCTTGTTTTTTTTTGGGGGGGGGGGGGTTTCCTGCGTTATGAAGGGTAAATATAAACGTGTACTCGTTTGAACGACTGTCATTTCCTGTCTCTTCACAGTTTGGCGATTTCAAAACTCCCTGGACATCTGTATTCGGCCTGTTTTATTTTTGCATCATCTTTTTTCATTGCGTATCTAGCGACCTGACCCGGCACTGCCCACTCCAACCTCGATGTTCTTCTCAAAACTCCCCCACGCCCCAATTCAGACTTGACCGTCGTCCGTCTGATCAGACCGGTTGGAGATTAGCCGTCATATCGTTTAATTCAAAATGCATCTAGGACGTGCGACCCAGAGGCGCCGGTAAACGAATCATGAAGACGAGCAGGCTCAGATGATCTCGCACCTGTAGCTTCCTCGGAGGTTCTCTTCATCCGGATTCTGCCTTCAATTCCCAAAGCCATCGCATACGATGCCAACGCCGTAAAAACCGGAAAGCCTACTTTAACCGGAGACCAACTGTATCTTGGAAATGTATCTTCGACGAGTGGCTATTTCCGAGCAAGGAGACTCGGCCAGCCGGAAAAACAGAAAGAAAATAATAAACTAGGACCCGTAGAAAACATCGCGACCGACTTCCTCAGATAAGCGAATCTGGGCGGCTCGCTTCTCCGTGTAACTTCCCTTCATCTCGCGCAGCCTCGCGCCGTCACACGCAGTCCGAACGTTGGTCACGAGGGCCGAACGAGTTCGGCGCCCCAAGTTTAATCCGCAGCGTTTGTTCTGGTTCGACGCAGCACCGGACCGGCGCCGTTCGTCGGACGAGTTCTGCGTGGTGTCTTCGGACGGCACGTCCCCGGCCGCCAGCAGCTCGACAGAGGACGAGAAGCCGAGCTTCCTGAACGTCCAGCTGCGGCACGTGGAGCGGGCGCCTCCTCTAAACGTGGTCTTCCAGACGTCGGGCTCCAGGGCCGAGGCGCCGCCGGCGTCGCCTAGTCTCACCTGGAAGAGTCACCGGGAAGTGGCTGAGCCCAGGACGTTGCCGCCGCCCAGGAGTCAGACCGCCAGAGGCAGGGTATGACATCGCAGGATCCTCCGAGAGAGTTTTGACCTTCCTAGAGTGCGGAGTGACTATTTTCTGTTGAAATATCAGACGTTACGCATGTCTCCACAGCTGAATGACTCGTTTTTCTTTTCTTTTTGCCAGGGGGATAGGTGCAGAAAAGGTATATATTGCCGCATTACGCTTACTTTTGTGTATCAGATGACGGGTATAAGACCGCTTTATTATTCCCGGTGGGAATTGCCACGGTTGCATCAATATCCGTGTTTCGCTAGAAGCGCGCTGGCACCGAGATATATCCTTAGGTGGTCCTCTTTGTTGTGACTTTCGTATACGGTGTCCTTGAGATCTGTACGAAGACTGCGTCATAAATGTTTATGTAGGGTGGAGTCTGTCTGCTCGACATACTTCGTGTAATATCTTTGAAAGCGAGTGCTACCGTGCAGTTTTTAACATATACCCAAACCGTGATTTCGGACTATGCATCCTGTATATGATATGCTGTCAGAGTGAAAATTCGTAACAGCTGTTATAGAGCGCAGCTCTTAGGCGCCTGTTTTCGGGTTTCGCCGGGTCGGCGTTGGCGTAACCGCACTAAATATAGCGGGAAAATTGACGTCACGTGACCTCAACACCAGTTCAGTTTCCCGCTAAATTTAGCGGGGAATAGAATTGATGATGAGGTCACGTGACGTCAAGTTACCCGCTAAATCTAGCGGAGAAACTGAATTTGTTCATAGCTAACGTGCCACCAAGTCATGTGGCGTCATTTTCCGCGCTAAATTAAGCGGGGAAACTGACTTGGTGTTGAGGTCACCTGGCGTGAAATTTTGAGCTAAATTTTCCGGGGAAGCTGTGGGAGGACGGGAGGGTATGCAGGAGGAGGAAGGGAGGGTACGGATTAGAGGGTATGCCCCTCCTCCTCCTCCGTACCCTCCCTTCCTCCTCCTCAAGAGCTGCGCTATAATTCCGTATTACAGGCATTTGTAAACGTTTTTCATTAATACTATAAAAGAGAGGGGTGGAAGGGGGCGGGGTCAAGGAAAAACTATTTAAATTTTATCTTAAAGACAGGCTTATGCAATTTCGTAGAAATAATGCATAGAGAACATATGTAAATACATTTGTAGCATTGAGATTTTAAGTTATTTCCTTCCATATGAGATGTCCGTAACATAGCATTTAAGTATTTGAGCCTGCAATGTCATACCTACAATCTTATTTCACAAATAAATCCGCCAGATCCTCTGCTTTTTTACGGAGGAAGACATATTACTTCACACTGGTGATACCTTAGGTAATATATAGGGTTTAGCTTAGAATTAAAAAGTTTTTGTAGAACGAAACTGGGAATTTTGAAATATATGTTTATTTCTTTGTCACGGTACATCAGACAAACCATGCAAACTTTTGTGGGTAGCTTCTCTATGTTTTCTAAAATATATCGTCTGTAGCTGTAGTGTGGTACAATTACCGTAAAACACGGATTCGTCTAGATACTGATTTATGAAATTTGTTTCCACGTATATTTTTCCCGCATTCAGGTAAAGCACCAATCAGGTGTCTGAAAACACAGTTTACAATTAAAACTTCTTTCATGAAAAGGTGCCAGAACACTGCCTAATAAGGCTTCTCGAATAAAAAGGTATACGTCTGATCACAGGGTGGCGTGAACAAAAAAATTGTAAATCGACATGTAAAAAAAAAAAATTAAACGGAAATTTTAATTTTTAGTTAAAATGATGATTTGATTTGCCCAGGTTGACTGGCGCTTTTTATTCTTGCGTTTGTTAAAACTTTTCTGCACTTTAGAATATTAAGTTAAATATATGCTTTAGTAGAACTGATCATTTCGATTGATAACTATTGATAGAACATAACAAGTAACTTACCTGTCTTAGAACATTTGGCGTTGTTTCGTGTCTTATGAACTGCGGAGTGAACTTGCCGCTGTACTAAATTTTAGACCTTATTAAGTTACATTCGGGACACTGTGTGAAATTTTATGACATACATCTCGCAGGTATTCTTCAAACCAAAGCATTAATCCAATACAGCTACCTACAAACTTTTTCGGTCACACAATTATATAGCCCAAAATGCTTCTCCTCTAATCTGGAGTTTCACCTGTGCCTTGCCTTCGGAATTTAATAGTTTAATATTATTCTTTGCAGAGTGTATCGGAGACAATAGGACCAGCTGAGTTCCTGCTGCCGAAACCCGTGGAACTTATTGAATCCACTCCTTCCAAAACTACCGACCGTTCTGCAGATATCAAACGGCGAGTTGTCAAGAACGAAAGCTTCTCAGAAGTGCAGAGAAAAGGTAATTAATCCTCTAATTTTAGAACTTAGCAAAGCCATCAAGCATTTTTTATCATTGTGAAGATGCTGCTTATGGCAGTTTTCCAATAACTTATGCAGTTAATAGCGTATGTTTATTTTCTCGCCTTTTTAAGTGAAGAGCCGAAGGTAAACTGACAGGTATCGTGAAATATTTTGTTTGCTGCAAGATTGATGGTCACGTGGGCCATTCTTGTGGCACTGTTGTAATTCCCTATTATTACGTCGTAATTTCTTTAATCTGTAAATCAATTATTCATTTAATCTATTTTATTTATTCGCATGTCTCAAAACAAAATATAAATCTCTCCATATGCCTATCTGGCTTGTGCACAGGGCCGCAAAAGAGCTTAGTCAGATTTGAACAATTTTAATTATACACCTTCGTATTTACGTATTGTGTTATAGACTCTTTTCAATCAAAATGAAAGAAATAACAAAACACAGGCTGTTCTTGTAACATAACCACTGGCCTCCTCGAGTGCCACTGTGGCAGGATAGGGGGGTGGACCATAAGGTAGGTCGTGATTAGCATAATTACGTGCATCTGTATAGAGTTTTATTCCCACAGTGAGTGACCATCTCTGTGATGCCGTGGTTTAATTTTGCATTCCAGTCGCAAGGTATAAGGCGATGCCATTTTTATTTCAGAAGTAAGATTTTGCTCATCTCCATTACTTTTTGGTACTCTTATTACAAGTCACGAGGAAACGACTGAGCATTTCAAATCTCAGATTTTAAGGGCCACTCGAGTACTTTGTCCATCGGTGGTCATTTAAGCCCATTCTAAGATATACTATCGCCATATATATTATTGCCAGCTCATACTCACAAAGCAGGGAATGAAGGCCCGTAGCCTGCAGGGAGCACTCTTACGTTTTTATTTTTTTGTGCGTAACGCTTTCCTCGGAAGCACTAAATCGCGCTATTTGGAGGAAGAATCTAGTTGCCGAAGGATAGAATAAACACAGGGGCATAACATAAAGATACGCCCGAGAAGGAACTCAAATGCACCCTGAGTCTAAGTAAGAAATCTAAGGAGGTGCATTGACTGCTTAGAATGAAGTTCTTCCGCCTAAACTTATCCTGCTTTCTCTGAAGTGGACGATCTAAAGCCTCGATGTCTGGGCCCAATTTGCCTCGGTGAGCTCCTCCCTGTGTATGTAATACCGGCTGGACTTGCATCAGCGGATGATTTAACATCCCATGACACCCTCTAGGGGACAACACTGAATTCATTTTCTCGATTCGTTTGTTTCGAGTACGACCAACAGAATATTTAAGGCCTGCGATCACCTTCCTCTTTCTACGTGCAACGTCATCACATTCGTATGGCGCCAACTCTGCAGTTTGCCTCAAGCCCCTTGCCGAGCGTGTTCGTGTTCATTCGTGTTCAATGTGTCTATTCGCTGGATCCCACTGTGAAGACGTCCACATTTTAGTGCACAGGCTTTGATAATTCTATGTGGCGTTGGTACGACACAGAGGCTTTTTCGCCGCGCATGACCTACCTCGTTTGTTTCCCCTACACTGCAGAGTCAGCGAGGTCACGGATGTACTCGCACGGTTCGCAGCTTGTTTCTCGTCCCTTTCCGTGCAGCTGGCAGGACGCAGCTGAAGCGTAGCGCCAGCGTTCAGATGAGGACCGGCGGCACAACTTCGGCGGCGGCAGGGACCCACGCTCCGTCGCCGTGGCCTCCCGTCGACGGACTGTCCAGCGCAGAGGACCTCCCGTCCTGGATCCGCGAGGCCGAACGCAAGAGAAACTGCGGTATTGACTGGGCCAATTTGGGTGGGTGCCCCGGAAACGGGCCACTCACGGGCTTTGCCGGGGACGATGACATCGGCTATCACAAGGGGGAGCTTCCCCTGACGCCGTCGCTATACGACCCGAGAGATCCAATGTAGCAGTGCCAAAAGTGTATCGTCACCGCGCTCGTTGTTTTTAATGCGAAAGCATTAACGGGGGGGTCCCATGGAGCGGAGCCTGCGTTGTCCGTAACCGCGAAAAAAGGGCAAAGAAATTCCCTCCGCGCCGTAACCGCTCTTACAATGGCTGCGGCGTGGTCCGTGCGTCGGATAGTTCCAAGGAACGCCACCACACACTCTTGGCGCTGCTCCCGCGCGCCGCCGCAGCAGCGCACAGCCGCGGCTACCCGGAGCCCGGCCGGACGGCGTCCACAGAGGCTGCCCGGCCGGCCTCTGCAGAGGATAGCGAGGCGCGCAGCTTTGTAGGAGTACGCTACATATACGAATGCTTTCGCATTCCTACACGCAAGCAGTTTTAAGTGTCCTCCTGTATTTTTGTGAATTCAATGTCACCGGCCAAACTAGGCACACTGTCACGACGTCGCGAAAGCGCGTGATGCGCCACTAACACCTGCCGCTAAAACTATTTTCCTCCGCGTTCACGCCCTTGGTAAATTTTTCCGCCAAATTTAGCGGGGAAACTGAGTTTGCGCATTTCACGTGATGTCAATTTTTACCGCTAAATTGACCGGGAAAACTAAATTCGTGCATAGGTCACGTGACGTAAATTTTCCCGCCAAATTTAGCGGAAAAACTGAATTTGTGTACAGGTCACGTGACGTCAATTTTTCCGCTAAATTTTGCATGGAAACTGAATTCGCTTACGCTCAGGCCGTCGCGAAGCACGAGACCGTAACGGGGTGGTTATCATTTGGGCCCCGTTTCGACCTTCTCGTCTGGACTCTCTCTCGAAATGACCATTCTCAAAACGTCCTTCTTGGTGGGGTCCGCGGCATTCGATCTGTTCTCGTTACATGCATCGCGTTTCATCCTCCAAGAAAACAAACAAACAAATGGGGCACTTCGAGGTGTCGGTGTTATGGCTCGGGCACCGCATATCCCCGAAGAAGCTTCTTCAAGTCCGCCCCAACTCGCCTATACACAAGCGCTCAAATACACACGCACACGTGCTTTAGTCCCGCGGTTTCGCTAGTGCCTGAAGTACGTCTCTCATCTCTTGTAACAGGCAGCAAAGGTCGCTCTGGACAGTAAAACACCGAAATTATTTTCTGAGTCAAAAGACGGCTTCGGATGTCTATTTTTTCCCGGGTCAAGAAATGGTGCACCCAGAGTGCCCGCGCCCCTTTTTCCGTACTCCATTTTTCCTTAAAGTGGACTGCAGCGTACGTTGCTGAGGAGTACCCCTATCATTCGGTCCTAGTGCGCATAAGCCCAAATGCGAAAAAAAGAACTGTTTGGATGTCTTTGAGAAGGTTCAAAAGAAAAGGTCCAAATGAGAATGGGCCGAAACGAGAAAGGGCGAAATCCGAATGGGACGTTTTCAGATATACATCCGAACGCCCGTGACAGCGGCCGCTGTAAAAAGTGCAGGATCGCGGCGCAGTCACTAGAAAGTTTTAGGGAACCGTTTTCGCTCCTCCGATACGGTACGATGGGCCCTCCGGAACGAACTGCGCATGCGCTACCGCACAAGACTCGCGCATGCGCAGTGCGTACCGGAGGGCCCGTCTTACCGTATCGGATACGGAAAAACGGTTCCCTAAAACTCTGCACTGCGCGCGATTGGTTTAGCTGGTGATTGTACACGCATAAAACGACGAGAGCCATGACGATGCACGTCTTGGCGCTGGTTCTTTGGCTCCATCGGATCGGAGAGTGACTGCGATCCAACTTAAGTGAAACGGAGTACAGGGCCCCTAAACTCGTCAAGCACAAAGTTGGAGCCGAAAGTTCGAGGAGCGCTCCAAATGGACGTCGGTGAAAAAAGCGCGAAGTCGTCGTCGTGATAGGCCAATCGGTGCGCTCCGTAAACGTCGGCCCCAACTTTGTGTTTGACGAGTGTTTGACGAGTTTAGGGGCCCAGAATGTTGTTCGTAGCAGCGTAGGCTCGGAACTATACTCAGTCCACCACTACGTTGAGAGTGCGGTGGAAGCCGCGCGCTCGTCGGACCGATCCAGCGCCTCTTTTTCATCACCGGACCCCGCTTTCTCGGCAGGGAGAGGTAAAGGTAGGACTGATCCCACGAGCGCGTAGCTTCCACCACAGTGCCAGCTTAGCGGTGAGCGGGGTGCAGCTCCTCTTGCATCGTCTGCCGAGAGCGACGACCCCTATTGGGTGGAATGCGGAGTGAACGTGTGTAAACGTGCCTTACGCTTTGTTTTTGGCAGACGATAAATGAGAGCTGGTTCTGGGCATGCTTTCTGAACAACGACCGAAAATATGGCGTCCAGCGAAGACATTCTATGATTGTTTTCGTGGAAATCAAGCCGCCAGCTAATTTGGGGATGGTTCTCCAATAAAAGTTCGCGGACCTTAAAAAAAAAAGAAGAAAAAAAAAAAACAGTCGTTCGTTACTCCACTTCGTCTAATCGGGCACGAGTTTCCCTAACTCACTTACAGCTGAACAAGAAGAGTGGCCCACTACGGCTTATATCATTATAATTCAACGGTACATTAGCGCGGTATTGCCGTAAAAAGACGGACACATGACCGATGGCAATGACACGCCCTAAAAAAAACAATTTGCAAGTTTATTTTCTCCAATTCCAATGACGGCGAGCAACGAAACGATTCCTGCGAATGAGGAAGCTGATAATTCCATTAAATATAACGTTCGCAGGTGCACATGGAGCAAATCAGATGTCATGTTCATCGTCCCTGCGAACACCGTATTCTCGGGTCTACTCCTATTCTGAGCTTTGTCATTTCTAGGATCTTGGTATTGTTCTTAGTGATTCGTTGTTCAATGTGCCGCAGGAAAATGAACTCACATTCCTGTTCCTTAGAGTGCACGAGCTCCTGCACGATGCGGAGAGCGAGTCGTCTGGTTCTTTTGCAGAGGTTCCGGTGACGTCAGAACGACGCCAAGTCCTGATTGGCTATGATTGGAAGGATAGTGTGTTGATTTCATAGTGGGTAGACCTCAATGCTAAAGGCCTCGAGGCCTACTCACTATTTTGTTTTTTTTTTTTTCAATCGCCCAATTAAAGCCTGGCGTTCTGACATCCTTGCAACCCCTGTGCAAGAAGCAGACGGACTTGCGCTCCGCAAAGGTCTCGCGCTCTGCCGTTCTTAAGTTGTTTCTTGTAAATTTAACGTAATGTCTTTCGTTGAGATGGATCGGGATTTTTCGAAAACCCAAATAATAACCCATTCGCCATTTCCTATGCGGATCGCAAGCTCGTCTGCTTTTTGAGCACGGATTGCGGTGATGCCAGAACGCCTAGTTCTGATTAGTTCCGACTGGAAGGATAATGGGTACACCTTAAGGCAGCTAGCATTGGAGGCATATCCCTCCATCACTGAGCCAATCAGAGCTCGCTGTTCTGACCTGAGTGCAGCTCCTGCGCAAGCAATGCAAGCATGACGCAATGCAAAGCGTTATGTTTAATGCCGCAGCGCGGACTTAATTTTGAGGTCTAAACGGATGTTTCGCCTCATCATTTCCTGAGGTGATTCCGTAGATCGCAGAGATTGGCTCTTCGAGTGTTTTGCGGGTAAGCAGACGCGCAGGCATTTCTTAGAGTGTATTACATTGATGGAAATATATTCAAATTTCAGGTTGAACTTAAAATGTAGAGGTCATGTAAAAAAAAATAATGTAAAAAACTGCTTCGTTGCAAAATTTAACATAAAAACACAAAAAGCTGAAACTCGTCACGAAGTTAATTCTCGCAAAGATAGTAAGAAGCGAATATTTCAGTCCAGTGCATTACTGAAGTAAAGCGTCTAAAGCAATTTCTTAAAACATTCTAAAATGGCTGGCGCCTCTGTTATCCGATAACTAACCTCATGAATGAAGGCCCCGAATTTTAAAGCAGTGTAATTGGATTTTCCGCTGAGCCTCTGCCCGTGGTTTTGGTTCGAGAGGATAAGAGGGGGGGGGGGGGGGGGGGGGGTTTAACTGTGCAAAGCTCACTATTACCAATGCATAGCGTAATATGCATCGGTGTGTGATTGATCTTTATAGATAATAGCAACCTAAAACGTTTACAACAAGACAGGCGGTGTTTTCCCCGAGAACTACGAGGCGTGCCTCAAACTGAGAACTCACCTCCGTGTGGACGGTTGCTTATAGCTATTTTCATTTTACATAACCGCAGCATTCCGTATTGTATGCACTTTTTCTCGTGAGTCTCGTACATACTTGAGTGGTTACCGCAAGAAACGTATATTGTGTCTCGCTCGTTCCCTTTTGTTCCTGGTCGCAGATAAATCTCTTTCGCAAGCTTCCGACGGCAGAGCCACTTACCTTTCGAGCGAGTGCCTGCACCAGCCGACTTCGGAAAGCGAAGTGCCGGATTGGCTGAAGGAAATACGACGCAAAAGGGAGGAAGACGCCAGGCTGAGGCTGTCGAAGAGTTCAGGTGGGACACCTCTCTCTCCCTCTCTGTCTTGCCTCAGGGCTTCGTCCACGGCGCGAGGTAGGCAGCTGGGGGAACCTGCGATATATGATGTACTCGGGCCGGCCTACGTCGTCTGTACTCACTGAGAGTTTGAGAAACAGAGTCCCCGGTTTATTGTGTTCGCATTTCTTAGCTCGTAATTCGTTTTTCGGTGGTTTTTATCAGTTAATGTTGGAATTTCATCGGTTACGGAGCGATTATCAGATGCTCGGGGATCATCACGATTTTCTATGATGCTGAACAATTTCGTAATTGAAATCGTAGGTTCATTCGCACGAATTTAGAAGTTAATTATTAAATGTTAATTAATTGTTAGCTAATGAATATCTTCCTTCCTTCCTTCACGTCCACCGTGGCTGACAGTCTGTTCGCGAAAAGAGCTGATTTTTCTTTCTCAAGCACCCTATTTTTGTTTTTGAAAGCTTCGCTGAAACACTCAGTATAATTATATTATTTTTGTTTAAGACAATAAAGTAGCAAAACAAAAAAATTATTTCTACAAATAACTGGCTTTTAAGAGGTTGTTTCCGGTAGTTAACGACACTTTTCTAATAAAAACAGTGTGTCCATTTGGTCGTTCGCTGTCAGCCTCAATATTCCGTCCTTAGTTCGCCATGTGGTTCAAACCAGCTGCTTCTTTACGCCGTGGTCGGACGGGTGAGTTGCAAACGCATCTAAAACCCGAGACTACGGCAGGAGAAGGAAGGTACAAAATATGGACGCACATACGCCCATCGTCGCCAACGTAGCTTCTGTTTGTGTCCTTTTCAGGCGTCATCCTTCTTTTTCTGTTGCCTCAGCTTTCACTTACGTTACGTAACGTTTTTTTCTTGGTGCGGTCTTTATGTGTGCGCCTGTTCCGAAGCAGGTAGCGGATCCCCAGACATCGTTTCGCCTGTTGCGAACGGAGCCGTGCGCTCTCCGTCTCGGGCAAGTTCCAAGCAGAGTATGACAAACGGCGACAGCGGAGACGTCGCCAAAGAACTCGGGGCCACGACGTACGACGCACCCGAGCCTTGTGCCGAGTTCATCGACTCCTTGGAAGGTGCCGACAGAAAAAGTCTGTTTCGATATGCCTAACCTGGCTACATTGTGGCATGGCACCGTTGCCCTTCTCTGCCATTGGTTCTGTGGCGCATGACGTTGCCGGGAGTTGCTCTTCTTCGTTTGTATTAACACGCGCGCAACACTCATGTCTCGTAGACATACATTGTTTTTTTGCGAAACATTTATTTTTACATAAATTGAGTTGTACCATGATAAAATGAATACTGAGGACGCGACTTGTAGGGTTTTTTTTTTGTTTTTTGTTTCTCTATTCCGATTTTATTTCTTTTTGATCCACATTGCAGCTATAGTTTATCACGAACCACATACAGTTTGAGTGATTACCACTAAGTACATCCCTCTTCTCTTTAAACAGGGTAGATATGTTTCTACTAGAACCTATACTTATTTCCCATTTCGGGAAGTAAGCTTTCCTGCGGGGTTTCGAACTTCATACATCCCTTTGCTACCATCGGGACGCCTGCTCCTGTTTAAAGGAGCTACAAAACCTTGAAAGTGCCTGCATTCAGGCAGGTTACCTCTACACCGAAAAGGTTATACTGTGCCACGACGACTGTACTGATGTTAGGAACAAGCTTCTGTTTGGCATCGAGACATGTTTGCGTGTTCAAACGGTGACGGTGACTATGGCATGGGCGTGGATTTGACCGTGGGTGTGGATCCGCGCGCTCCTGTATTCTATTTTTGCGGAGACAAATAACCAACCAAAGCATGTCGCTGTGTGCACGGTACGGGCTCTCTCGCTGGACATTCTGGTGTGGTCACTTTTTTCGTCTGCTGTTTTCCTCTTTGTTACTTAACGCATCGTTGTGTCTTGTTCTTTCTGCTGATGTTATTTTTGTGGTTTTGTCTTAACAACTCGGACAACTGTTGGTCGATAAAGGTCCGGCTATCTTGAATAATCAGCCTACGGTAATAAAACGTGCTTGATAATTGAAATAATAGTCCACAGCTTAAACTTTAAACCAAAATTACACGTATAAGCCATTCGAGTTTCACCTTGGCACTTTACTGCTCACGTGGTTATATTCAGTTTTAAGAAAAATACTACAGGGATTATTTTAGGGCGATAACTCGTTCAAAGGCAAATTTAGCATCATGCACGACCATTAAAAACGCAATAAGAAATCACGACACGGCCCTTTTTAACAAAGCAAGGCATATTGCGATTTTGTTATAAGTTTTTAATAGAAAAAGAGGCCATTCACGACAGTAATTTGGGGTACTTTTTGTACAATTAAAACTAGAAGTTACAGGAAAAAAATATTATTCGAACATCGTCGATCGAGATGCAGTTATAGTTTAGTTTTGTTATTGCTTCCGGCTTATGGATGTTAGTCAAAATTGAAATTCTACCACAACCTCTGACTCAAATGTAAAGTAACAACATTCCCTGTTATAAATTTTTATTTGACTCGTGAGCAGTAAAGGCATAAATTCTAGCATCCACTCACGTCTTGCGTTGCGGCTTGCCATACCCGTAGAATATAAAACAATACAATAATTGGTCGATGAACTCCAGGTTAGCACCTGGGACAGTTACGGCCGATATCTGAGGCATAATTCATAAGAAACCGAGATTAGCTGAGTGTTTGAGTGTTTTGAGCCTAAATCAAGATCCAAAAGCACCGACTAAAACTTATCCAATATGGAAACGACTTCGTTTATATGAGATTCTGATTTGGCAACCGCCAAGAGGCGCGCCGCTCGAGTAAATCATTAAATAAAAAATGCGCTTTTCCTTTAAACGTAACAGGGAACCTGAGTAGGTTGCAAGGGTCACGTGACGTCACTTTTCGCGCTAAACTTAGCGGGACACTAAATTGGCGTAATATGTCGCGTGTCATCAGGTCATGGCACATTAATTTCCCCGCCAATTTTAACGAGGAAACTGAATTGGTGTACGTGACTCGGATTTTCCCGCTATATTTAGTAGAGAAACTGAATCGATATATAGGTCTCGTGACGTCGGATCACTTGACATTAATTTCCCCGCCAAACGTAGCGAGGAAACTGGACTGGTGTATAAGTCACTTGACGTCAATTTCCCAGCTAAATTTAGCGGGAGGCGCACGGACAATAATAAGCATGCCACGCTTAAAAGTAGCGCTCCGATTGCAAAGAAGGTAAACAGTAAAGTAGCAATTCGATTAAGTATAGTCGCAGACAGGGTGAGAACTGCAGGGAGTCTCTACTTTAGATGCCACAGCAGGCGCTCGTTGCCTTCCTCCGTGCACAATTGGCTGCACGCGCATTCTCGAAGCTCACGAGAGGCCGCTATCGAAGGCAAGAAGCTCGCGTTGGAGGAGGAATAGCAGAAAGACCTACCTGCCCTCGTCTTTCCAGTGACTGTATATGGAGACAATGAGGGAAAGGAGGAGAGGAGAGCAAACAGATATCAGAGCACCCAGCTTCGATTAGAAGGATAGTGGGTAGACGCAAAGGCTAAGCTGCCTTTGTTTCTTCCCCTGGTTCCAACGCGTTCCAACGCCGAACCGGGGGGGGGGGGGGGGGGGGGGCGGCATATGACGCTTTTATTTGCTCCGATTGGAGGAAGAGAAAGAGTGGTGAAAAAGGTAGCTAGCCTTTGCATTTACCCCCTAATACTGCGTATCGGAGGTCCGCGCTTTGACGTTCCCGAACCCTCTCGTCTCCTCCTCTCTCTTTCTCTCTCTCCCTCTCTCAGTTTATCGGCCTATAGCTCAGCCATTTGCCAAGTTCTAAACGTTAACCCGACAAAACATCAACAACAAAAAATTGCCTTCAACCACCAGAAAGCCTTCCCTCCGTCGAGCACTGCTTCCTCGACGGCGACGAGTCATCAGCACGCTTCCTGGAGCTCCAGCGTCCGGACGAGGACGACGACGACGACAGCGACGCCATCCTTCTGAGCGAGAGTCGCCTGGCCACACTCTTGGACGAGATCTTCAGCGAAGCTGAGGAAACTTGCGCCACGCCCCTTCCGACGCTGATCAAGAGTCCCAGCAGTCAGTTCGACCGCCACGTTGTCGATTGCGCAGACGACAGAGATGATGTGACCGGAGCCGATGGTTTCAGCTCTCCGGAAGTAGCAGCGTACGGCACCGGAGAGTCGGCAGAGCCTTACAGAATTACCTCGCCAAAGCAGGCTCTGATGGAAGAACTCAAGCACGTGCTCAGGAAGCGGAACTCCATGGAGCTCTTGAGAGGTAACTCGCGTCGACGTGTTTGTGTGTGTTGGTCGATGGGTTCGACCGGTAAGTCTGGAACACTGAACTGCGAGTGTACTAAAGAAATGCGCGTGGTTTTACTTTCCCAAAAAGCTGGCATGGAGTCGTACGACTTTAGCAAAGGGCTATAAAGTCTGATGCACACATTTCCGTATGAGTGTGATGGACTGTCCCGAAACCGCTTGCAACCGCTTACACCGAGAGAACACTAGAGAGCCCAGAGGTAAGAGAGGGGGCAACCGAAACCAACGACAGCGTTTGCTATTCAGTGGCGAACCCCTTTCGGCAACTCACGGTCGGGCATGAGCAACCAACCAAGTCGGTTGCTCATGCCCGACCGTGAGTTGGCGCGTGTCGAGGAGGATTGCGGGCGGAACCAACTTGAAGACGCTTGGGAACGATAGACGCTTCCGCCTCCCCCTCCTCGCAGCTTCTATGGCAAAGCGGCTCACAAACCACGTGACCCCACGAGAGCAGTTGGAAACACTCTGAAATCTAGGCACACTAGAGGACACACCGGCACACTGGCCGGTGTGCCGGCACAACGGCACACCAGCATTACGTAGGTCTGGAAAATTTACTGTGTGCGTGCACCTGAACTGAAGATTTTGCTTAGTATTTATTTGAGTAGATGAAATCTACGTAGTGTGTAAATCCAAGAAACAGTTTTTTTTTTAATTTTTA